CCTATCGCCGGCGAAATGCCTTCTCCTCCGGCGCCGGAGACGGTGGTGAGCCATCGTTTCTTAGCCTTTCTTATCTGGCAATCGATACCTTCATCGGTTATCTTCATCTTCTTCAACCTCTTCCTCTTCTCAAGCACTTCAATCGTCTCCTTTCTCTTCACTTTCCTCGTCTTCCAATCCTCGCAGCTTCTTTTCTCCGTCTCACTAGCTCTCCTATCTTCTCCGACCCCAGATTCTCCTCTCTCCGTTCTCCAATTCGCTCTCGGACTTCTCCGTCACTTATCCGATCCGGAGTTTCGCCGCCGTGCTCGCGTATCCTTGCGAATCGTGCTCTTCGTCTCCGCTACTTCCCTCGCCGGATTCTGCTCCGCGGCTGTGTTTTGCTTCTCGAGTGATTCGATTGGTGCGATTGGAAGAATAGGGTTTAGGGGATTTGTGACTGGGTTGCTTTACGCAGTGCTTTTCGTTCTTAAGCAGAGATGGGTATTAGAGTTTCCTATCATTCAGGTTACAGATTCTGCTCTTACGTTTTGTATCTCTCTAATTCATCGATTTTGTACCGTAGCTGATTCTTTACTGTACCTTAGCTGATTCTTGACTGTGTGTGTTTCAAACAGCGTCCACCGTTCTTCAGCTTCAAGATTGGTCTTCCTTCAGCTTTTACACAAGCTTTGAAGCTATCAGGTGTGTTGTATGTACTGTCGACAATAATGCTATTGTTTCTGCTAGATTGGTCTGGTGGGCTTGTGTCTGTATCGAGATTCTTGGTTGAGCAAGTCATATCTTATGCGGGCAGTTTCTGTCTGATTCTCTCTTGGGAAGTGACTCACCATATACATCAGGTTAGTTGAATTGATTTTCATATTGCTTTGCGTGTATCCATAGATGTATGATGTAATTGGAGGTGTAGTGTGTAACTTTTTAGTGAACTTAGTTGAGTTAACATGTTAGATTGCAGAAGACTTAGAGCTCGCTTTTACTACTCGACTGAGAAAAATCTGAAAGGCGACGGCAAGTTAGCTGAGTTTGCCATTACATTTTGAATTGATAATGTTGCCGAATGGTTTTTCCTATGTTGTTTGGCATGTCTATGCTAAACAATTTATGTTTCCGAAGCTCATGTAGTAGCCAAATGGTTAACAATGTTGTCTGTCTTCTGTGTAAACTTATTGAAATTTGTATTGATATGATGCATCCCTTTTCTATGGCCTGCAACATTGGTGAGAGACAAGGAAATTACTCATTAAATTTTTACTTTTCTTGGGTAGCTTAAGATTCCTGCCTAATCACTTTGAAAAGGATTATCTGTGAGCTTTTTTTCTGTGTGTTACTTGTCATTCTATCAAGGAATATACAGCTTTTTGTCCAGGTTTTCCATACAGAGGAGGTTATTTACAATTTGTGATTTTCCTTTCCAGGTTCTGCACACAAAACGGTTCAGTTTTGCTCCTCCAAAAGGATCTGCTGCAGCAGAAACGAATCCAAGCGAGCCGCTTCTTGCTGCATTAGAGGGTAGTAGTCCAGGTTCACTCGAGCAGTCTCTTGCATATCTTGATCTCTACATGGTGTCGCAGAATCATGTCGACACATGGCGTCGTGCTGCCTTCTTCGAGGAGTCCAGCGAGACTTACAAAAGAGTAATCACTCTATGCTTGAGGCCTTTAGAAGAGCTTGCATCCAAGTTATCTGTTGGGCTAGACCAGACCTTTACCGAAAAAGGCTATCAGTCACCGCTCCAACAGCCAACCGAGTCATATATCGATCCTAAATTTGGCGAAACACTCAAGTCTTTTCAGGTAAACCGCAATTCCATTTTCTGCCTTTCCTCTCTGATTTCTTCTGGTATCTATACACATAAACTGTTCGCTCTGTTATCTGATATTTGCAGCTATATGCATGGTGTGCTCAAACAACTGCATCCCTAACTGCAATCTCTCACAAAGAAGACAGGCTTGGAGTAGCACAACTCTCTGGTGGGAACGCCGATGTTGTCTCAACGCTTCTATCTCTTTTGCTAGCTGTTGAAACGTTTATGGGGAAGAAGACCAATCTGCAATCGCCTCAACAACTTATGGGACCTGCTAGTATCAAATGGGCGACCTCGAGTATGATCAGAAAAGATGTTAAGCCCATCAAAAGGAGAAATGGGGCGATTTACTCCTACGCGTACGCAGCTACAGATGTTTTGAGGATATCGATATACCAGATTCTTTCTACATTCCGCGATGAGATGCTCAAGAGTGACAGAACCGGGCTTCTTGGCAGAGATTGGATTGGAAGCAAGAAACCGTCTTTCGGAACAAACGAAATGTTGCTTCAGAAGCTTAAGCTCTTCCTCGAGTTCCAAGCTTAAAATGGAAGAAGATTTAAGATTACCAATGTCTCTCGATGAAAATGCAGCAACAATGAACTACTAAAAGGTGTTTCCGTTATACCTTAGAAAATGTCTTTGTATTGAAATTGAAATCCCTCGATTTTGCAGAAGTTTGGGACGATTTCTTTTTTGGTGAACTTACAAAATTACATAAGCGTCATCAAACTTTCTTGTTTAAAATTTGCTTCTTGATTACATAAAACATAAACTATTGCTTCTTGAATTTTGCTAATGTGTTTACAAAGCAAATTGAACGAGTTTCCAATAATTACGCATTTTTAGAGG